TTTATTGTTTAACGTCCCTCTGAGAATTTTTTACTCATATGGAGACGCCACCACTTGCCAATGGAGAGCTGCAAATTTTGACCTATACTCGGCACTTAGGGCCAAAGAGCAGTGAGAAATCTTTTTCGTGCGAGCACCTACTGCGACACGGGGCCTCGGTTTGTACCGTCTCATCCGAAAGATCCACCTCCCATAGTGGAATTCGAACCTGTATCATAATTTTTCTATCGTATACATTTATGGTGTAACATTTATTATGCGATTGAGAAATGTTTTGAAGAAGGAGGATTGGGAAACATCAGCATTTACACTGTACATGTACGTGTAGATCATAGGCGTAGTCGTATGGGCATTCCCATCATCACTTTTAAAGAGGGGGAGGGGCAAGAGTGTTTCCCCTCCTTAATTTTTTGATCGTTTTGCTCCTCAGATACCCTAATTTTATTTGATTGGCATCCTCATTTTTTAACTGTGAGACAGCTTATGCAGACCTCAATGAGGCAGAAAAGTTCGATTTAATCTGCTGAAATTGAGATTTTATCTGATATTCTGTCAAGATTCAATTTATTTTTAGGGGGGGGGGGGGGTATCAAGAGGGTGTAAGTCCATGTCTATGGGACGGATCCTATGTTTATCACATTGTGACAACACATCAAACATTTACAGGGTGTAAATAGCCAGGGACACTTTCATAACTTTGCTACTTTCGATGCATGTACAAATATGCCGTGTACTACATGTCTTATATGAACAGACAATTGAAACCATTGGTGGACCTCTTGTTAATTACTTTACTATATTTTTTATGAATATTTTGGAAACATTTAATTTTCATTTTAATTATAATAAATCTATAGTAATACTGGAAGGACGACTGAGGACAGACGAATTACAAAAGGATTGTCTCAGAAAGTTCTGTGGTCTTCCTTTTGAAATATGGACATCAATTTTACAATATTTAACAAATCAAGAGCCGAGTATAAGGCATAATCTGATGCGGGTTTGTATATTATTTTGCAATTTTATCAGAACAATTCCGATGCCAGAGTTTTATATCTCAACAAACAGATTATTCAAAGTTTCCCCCGTCAGACAAGCATAAGTAGACTTAGCAGGATAACCGGACGTAATGGAGGACTTATTCTTCAAATCAGAAATAACGTCAAAAATCCACGATGAGCAAATGTCCGGTTGCACTTGCGTGAGAGAAACCATAGGTTTTTTTTTTTAATGTATGGCTGGTGGAGAAACTGGAGAGTCTAAGCCTTTGCGTATTAGACAGGAAACAAGGGCTATATAATTACTGCACTCTTTAGTTGCGAATTCAGATGTGCAGCAAACCAGAACTCTCTTTAAAAGCTTAAAAGTAATTGACACCTACAAGCTCAATTTCTCTCTCTCTCTCTCTCTTTATATATTTAATCTTGATTGACTGAAAAGAAGATTTCCTCATTAATTGATTGATAATTTTAAAACCAGTGTCAAAAACCTTAATTGCTCTTATTTACAATTCTTTTCAAAATGGGGGTTAAAAAATTTTTATTCACTGAAATCAGGCTTTAAAAATCGCTAAATTTTCAAAAACGCATGGAAATGGAAAAATGAACCCTCAAAACATTCCATATTTTTAACTTATGTAAAATTCAACTTTATAGTTTGATAAAAGACCTTATTTTATTCGTAATCTCCTTTGAAATTGACAATAAATTAACCATTATTGCAGTTTTGTCTGTTAACATATGTCACCCTCCCCCAACCCCCATCCCTGAAACAACAAAAGCTTTGGTATGATGAATTTGTGCAATAACAATAACAAAAAGAATTTTTGTTTCACCGGGGGGGGGGGTGGGTGGGTGGGGTGTTTTAAAAATATTTTCCGTTGATTTCTATAGTGAAAAAGCATTTTTTTCCCCCAAAATTAAAGAGAAAGATGTTATGTTTTGTGTAAATGAGCATAATTAATGCCTGTTACAAAGTTGGATACTTGAATTAAAATTAAACATTGGTACAATATTGATTTTAACTTCTTTTCAAATTTCTTGTTTGTATCGGTATAATAAAACAGTTAAAGTATATCATTGAGGGAGTCAGCAAGATTCCAGTTCCCCTCGAGCAAACGTATTTTCCTCTGCGCAAGCGCCTCGGGAAATGGACTTGCTCTTGGGGAACTGGAATCTTGCTGACTTCCTCAATTATATACTTTAACTGTATAATGTTTTGTCTATGGCTTTTTCCGATTTATCAATGATAAATTTTACGGAAAAAAGTTTATATTTGCCGAAAATAATCAGGGTACTGCCTAAACATATTTGCGCGTCACTTGAGCCTTGGCGTAATGAAGAAATAGTTGATAGGACTCAAAGTGAAATGCTACTAAAATTTCGAGACTTTTGTGAGAAATCCAGGGATTTAATCAGTGGTAACTAATTACTAGTAGTTGGTTGATTGAATTGTGCATCATAATCGATTTGAAAGGGAAAAAAATATTCTGAATATGAACATTAGGAGGTCGGGATATCGAGCTGAAGTAAACGTAGGTCGCTTTTACCACTAACTTACCTTAACTTCGCGCACAATAACGGGCATGTTTCGACATTAGACCTAGACTAATTCATCCAAATTTCGGTCACAAAACTTTCCTGTTCTTTGTATGCAAAAATTGTATGAATAAACCCAGAGTGATGGAGATGCGAGCATGGGTGCATATAAAACAGTTAGAAAATCCGAGCTATATTACTCTAACCTTAATCCGTAGATCGCAGACAATGCACAGCGATTTAATTAACGGTTTGATTAAGTTTTACATGTTTGATGCTTCACTCCTGTAAGATAATATGTCGGCAGGGTTCGACATTAGGCTGATTCATGCAAGTTTCTGGTCACAAAAGGCACTAGGCAGTGCCTTTTGTAAGCAAAAATTACATGAATTAGCCCAAAGTCAGGAAGATTGAAGACTGTATTTATTAAACAGTTCCAGTGTTAAAACTATATACTCTAACCCTAATCGATTATTCGATCGCATGCGTTGACAATGTGGACGTTCTCAATCACAAGTTTGAGATGGCGGTGGACTTTTCATTGAAAACCATGAGAAATACAGCCATATAAGTATTTGCATATAAGAATCCAGCACACCTGCATACATGTTGTTGCATTCTATCTTGATAGTAGCAGAATGTAAGAACCCATTATACCTATCTATATTCTAAAATTACACCCTGTTTTGTTGAAAACTAAGAAAGTTGAAGTCATTTAAAATTTAAGCCAATCAAATTGAAGCAAACGTGCATGCACGCGTTTTCACGATCTCTCATATATATCATAATGTAGAACTTCCTTATGTACGACTATATTTTAAATTTCAAAGTATTTCGTGTAAAACAAGAAGGTTATTGAGATTTTTTATGTCAGCCAATCAGAGCGAAGCACACGTGCATGCGCGTGCTTCCTTGCTCATTCAACTACTTCATTTTGTCTACACCACTAATATAAGCCCCCTTCTTTCTTTAATATAAGGTTCAAAGCATATCATCAAAAAATAGGAAGGTTAAAGCTGTTTCAATTGTTTCGGTCATTTCACTCCTCGCACGCGCATGCAAGTGCGCGTGAAATGGCCTTCGTTCCGCACATCTAGGCAAAATGCCTGTTAACCCTAAAGAGGTTTCACCTCAATCGTAGTAGTTTCCGAGAATATTCGCAGGCAAAAAAGTACCTAAAGAGGTTTCACCTCAGTCGTATGGGAGTTTCCGAGAACATTCGCAGACAAAAAAGTACCGAAGAAGAAATTCTAAAAAAAAAAGAAAAAAAAAAGAAGGAAAACAATATGTCCCCAGACTTCGTTTAAAAAACTTAAAATAATCATAGTAAGTACAATATTTCTTTAGTTGAACTTGTTAACAGGACTTTTATTTAAATCAGATCGGGGGTTTTACTAGTGAGCATTGGCTAACAGACGTCTTGTTTGACATGTTCTATAATTAATATTTTTTTTCTTTATTTTGGGGACAACTCGTTTCTTGTGAGTAGATTCCTTGGTGTCAGCTCTTAGACTAGTGTCAGATGTAGATTCCAGATCTTTCTGCCCCGGCTGTTAATCCAAAGGAAAAAGAAGATTATTAATATTTACAAGTTAATTGAACAATGCGTCACATGGAAGTGTAATTACAAACAACAGTAATCAGTTACAATTAAAGATAATCTTTTATTTTCTAGTTTTCGAATAACACAATTACATGACCTCCTTGGGAAAGTGCTTCATCGTTTATTTTTAGAATCATTTTCTTTATGTTACTGATTACCCTCATTATTTTACAACTAGTTCTAGAACGCAAGTGCCTAATTTCACAATCATGTGATCTCCTTAAGATATTGCTTTGTTCTAAGTATCAGCATTCTCGTGAGCCTTTGTATATAAGTGTATGGTATTCCTTATGTACTTAAAACATCAATTAGTGTTAAGTGTCGTTGTGTCTAGATTTGTTCGGTTTTCTCTATATATACCGCAAGACATCTCCTCATATAGAGGCAAAATATTTATTTGTTCTGGATATTTCACCTTTGAATGTACATGATGATCTTTTTTATTTTGTTCACGATTTTTATTTCAATTCCAAGAACGAGGACGGCTTTCTTATTAACCGGCTCTATCGATCCAAACTCTACAGTTCTGATTAACGAAAGGCGCGATACAAAGGAGATCGATGTTCTTCGTCAGATCATCAACCAGGAAACTCTCATCCGTTTATCCGCGGTCAAGGATGTAAAGGCAGTAGTGGACGATGTTAGTTCTATTAAGCACAGCCTTGGATCCATGCAGAAGACGGTAGAAACATTGAAAAGACAGGTGGATACACTAAATCAAGAAAACAAATACCTAAATAGCACTGTCTTGCGAACCATCAAGAAAGGCAAACCTCTCTCTCTTTTTCTTTTTAAATATGTTAGTAATATTATCATTACCATTGCCATGTATTATAACACGTTCCTTGTCATTCAGGTTTAAAACCGAATACAGATTGCATGGATCTCTATATGAACGGACATACACAATCTGGTGTATACAGAATAAATCCTTTTGGAAATGAGAGCCAGATCAACGTATACTGTGATATGGAAACAGAAGGCGGAGGGTGGACAGTAAGACCTCTCTCACACACACAATCCTTTCTTATCTCATCTCGATCGATCGAACAATTTTTAGAACTACTGGTGGAATTATTAAATAGAAAGAAAAGACTAGCATTAAGATAAATTTATTTGGAAAAAAAAATCGTCTAGTTTTTTGATTTTGTGATGTCATCAATCAGTTTGCTCACGTGATAAATTGCATAAAACGCCGAAGGATTATCACGCAAGCTAACCGATTATTCAACATCACAAAAAGACAATTTTTTTCTTTATTTGCATTTTCACTTGATCCTTGATTCAATAAAAAATTTAATATTAAGAAATTTCTGCAAGCCCAACCAGTGTATTTCAAAGCAACACACAGCCAGAAAACATGAAATTCTGTCACGTGCTGAGCAAATCGCTTTATTAGGAATTAAAACTATTACTTTATTTGTAGTTTTATTTCGGACAACGATATCTGATTAGTGAAAATATTAGACTATAAAGCTACTTCTGTTGTTATTGATATTCAAGGCAAACGTACCACAATAGAAAACGATACATAATCACACAAAGAATTTCTCATGATCAAGCAAATACTTTTCTTATATGTCTCAAAGTAGATGTGCATATATTCTTTTTTTATTTGCATTAATGATTTAAAGTACAATTAAAAGACATGATTTCATTCTATACTACTATTCTCTACTGTTCTGGTAACCCCTAGGCGATACAGAAACGGAGGAACGGAAGAGTGAGCTTTAACAAAACATGGGCGGAGTACAAAACAGGTTTTGGGAACACCAGCGACTCATATTGGATTGGTATATATGTTTATTTACAACTGATTATTTCTTAAACATCCAGATACCTCATTGAAGACCCTTAAGTTGCTACTACATGTACCCCAAGTGCACGCCTCACGAACTGTACATGCAAGCTACAAGGTTAACACGAAACGCTGCTCGGTTTACACGAAATGCTGTACGGTTTAAGAAACGCTGTATGGTTTACATGAACGCTAAATTTTACACGGTTAAAACGAAACGTTGAACTGTTTATCAGGAAATGCTGCAAGAAACTTATTTGTATTTGGATCTCACACGCTTTGGACTGGATCTCGATTTTCTCTTTCGGAAGTTATTGAAATGATAACGTGATACGTTTAAATTAAAACTTGCTTCCCTTGTAGTATGTAAACCAATGAAAATATATTTAAAATTTGTACAAGATTAGGCTTGTTCTTAAAATATTATAAATGTATGAAAAGTTCAGTGTTTTTCCCAAAGCAAGCGAGAGCTATTTACCTGTATGACCTATTTTGAACCCACCCGTGGAATAAATTATTCAAAATACCGGTAGTCACGTGAGTTCTACCCAGGTAAACATTCCTAAAAGGTGCTCATTGTAAAGATAGCCATGTTTTGTATCATTATATCAAAGTCGTACCGCAAAGAGAAGTTTGTATGTATTTGGTTGTAGCAACACGGGAGGGTTAGGAGAGTTTAGTGTTGTTAACATGTCATCATACATAAAAGCGTCAAACATTCTTAACATTCATGCAAGACTATGTTACCGGTATTGAAAGCCACAAAAATACACTTTTTTCATTTTAAAATTTAAAGGAACTAATGTTAATACTTATTGTATTATTTCAAATGCAAGCGTGCAAATTTCTTAGTTTGATCACTATGGCTACAGGCATCTATACAACTTCATTCGATTTTTTTCTCAGGTAAATAGCGCAAGAAGTATCATTCGGCAAACGCGCCCGTCAATGGTCCACCATCAGATTGTTCAAGTGTCCGATATAAATGTCTCCTCCCCTTGATTTAAATAAACGAAACTCAAAATAGGTTCGGTACGACTTTTCCGGATTTGGGGTGTCTATAGGCATTTAAAAATCTTCATTTGTTTCAAATCTATCCTGATTTAGGTGATGTTTTAACGTGATTTTAATTAGAAATATTCACTTGTGTTTAACTGTTACCAGAAGAGAACAATATGGTAATATATTCTAAAGTAATACGGCACTGAAAAGGGCCCATTAAGCATTGCTTAAGTGCACTTGTCCTTTAATCAATAGTCTACTTTCCTTTTCGATAAACAGCCCTGAAATAGCAAAAAAAAAAATAAATAAAAAATAAAAAATAAAAAAAAAAAAAATAAAAAAATAAAAAATAACGGTGGTGGTTACAGTTGGTAGATCTATTATTTATTTATTTTTTAATTTTTTTTTTTAATTTCAATTTTTAAGAAAATTGACAACAGGCGATGGTTTAATTTTTTCATCATTTCAAAAAGCGTCATTAATGAATTATTATTCAATCAAAACTTGATTAAAGTGATATAAAAGAAATAACGTGTGATAACTGATTACAAAACGAAATGTGTAAATGGTTTTCGTCATTCACTTATCTTGATCTTGACGGAAATTTCTAAAACATCAGATGTCATCGAGTCCGATGTTAAAAAGAAAAAAACGAGGCGATTACATGTATCACTACATGAATGTAAATAAAAAGGTTTGGTGTGAATGGGCATGGAAATGATGGTAAAACAATTGATACCACTAGAAATGTAAGTTGTGAATATATTTATTTGTTATAGTGTACCTTTAAAAATGTATAATTCTATACTTTAAAAAGTCTAACAATTCCAATGTTTTACTGAGCGGTCATAAAAAAATCGATGTTTGACCGCAGATCGAGATATTGGACCTGTCGACGAGATGTTGGACCGCTTACGTCACAGTGTAACAGCGGGGTCAGCTGTATCTTATTTGAATTCGTTGGAGTTTGACAGAAATTTACGGAATTGACAAAGTTTAAACCGCAGTGTGGGTAAACAAAATTTACATCATGTTATGTCCAAATAAAAAGTAAAATGTATAACAAAACATTTACTGACTGCGTTCTCGGACAAAATGCGTTTTGTCGACCCCTCGAACCAAACTGTTTGCCTTCGGCCTAACGGCCTCAGGCAAACAGTTTGGTTCTTGGGTCCGACAAAGCGTATGTTGCCTTCAAACCAAGTCAATAAATGTTTAATATTATACTTTCATGCAAATAAGTTGAATCTGATTCGTAGAGAAACATTTGTTAAAAAACACTATTACCCGCTGAATAATGAAACCACGCCCTCCAGCGCAGCAAGAGTCAACATTGCATGACGACGGGTGATATTCCAAAAAATATTGACTGCGTAGAATTTATGCGCACAAGGTTTGGTGTAATATGTATTTGTAGAAAACATTCAGTATAATATAATAAATATTGCATGAAGTTGAGTTTAACATTAAAAATTTTCACCCCTCGAAAACCATTGTCAACCTCGGCTGCGCCTCGGTTAACAATGGTTTTCTTTGGGTGAAATGTTACACTCCCGCCGAAATATGGCTGAAATATTGCCGACTCGGCGTAAAACAATAATAATCAATCAATCAATATTACACTCAACTACATGCAATATTTATATAATATCAAAGACTATTTGTGCTAATCAGTAAGATTTGCATATTCACCACTCAGGGCATCATGGCAAGGGACTCGAAGTACAGTGTTTGTATATAGTAATAAACCTGCTTTCATGTAAAGAGAAAATGTCAATGAATATGGTATTTTTCACATTTAAGAAATGCTGTTAAAAATTGTGCTTTAATCAATATATTTCAGTGGATTTCTTTCTGAATACAGTCTTTTGTTTTAAATACTAGGCCTATACATAAGGTGTTTAAAAGCTAATTTGTGCAGAAAATATGCTGACAATTTTATCAGTAAAATGTGCCTATTCGCTTCTTTTCTCCTTGATGGAAAAAGAATAAGAGCACCCAAAGTGCAATATCTATAACAGGTATCAAAACAGGTGACAATGTAAAAAACAATGTTTCCATGTATGCTAGGGCTCCAAACGACCCCCTAACCCCCTTCCCCACCCTCTCCCTTGCAAACACATGTACATATAGATGGATGCAACATGAAAACCAAACAAAAAGTATAATTTATATATGAATAAGATAAAATGGCAGTTAAAATGCCTATCCCTTGCCTGCAATGCTGCTGGATTCATAAATGCATGTTAATAAAAAATCATTCTTTTGTTTATAATTTATTTATAATTAATTAAACTGTTGTTTAAGTAAATATTCAATGCCGGGACTGAAAAAGACGTGTCGTCTCAAATAAAATAATAATGTTGATTAATTACCTTGAGAAAAATAAAAGTCCTTAATTTTTGTATTAAAAGATTTGGCTGAATATCGTTTTTTAATTTTTTTTAAAAATCTTACTATATCTATCTTTCATCTATCTATCTATCATCTATCTATCTATCTGTCTGTCTATCTATTACCGCGTGACTTCTGATGATTACGATTAATTTTTACTCTTAATACACCATCGGAATGATAAATCCGAACACTGCTGGTTACAAACAACACACTTCTGTCTTAAGCGATCGTGATCCATATGAAGTCGCACGCTTCTTGCACGAAGGTAGCACGTTCCTCACACGATTCTTGCGTGCTCGTTACACATATCTGCAAAAAATGCCTTTGGGCTTAACCGCAACCCTGCAAGGTTTACCCGAATCGCTGCAGGGTTTACACAAAAAGCTATGCTACACGGTTTGCACGAAACCCACATGCTTTAATGGGGTTGTACCACATTTCAGGGTCTCTATTATTGTATCAAATATTATCAGCATTTATTCACTTCCCCGCTTGTCCAATAGTTACGTAATAGCTTAAAGCGCTACAATTTTTTAATCAAACACGTATATTACATGTACTTAGTTTTGCTTTATTTTATAGCATTCAGGTTAATTATAGTTGGTTTCTTTATACAATCAAAGTTTTTTTAATATTATGTTTAAGGCAATGACGTGATTCATCAGCTAACTAAGGGAAGGAACTCTTTCCTATACATCTCCATTACAAGGAAGGATGACATAAAGTATTATGAACTATACGACCAGTTTGCTGTTGCTGATGAGTCAGATAACTACACTCTCTTTCTTGGAGGACCATATATGGGAACCTTAGGTAATTGTCAAAGAAGTGATTACTTGTCTGTGAAATATTTACAACACTGCTTTCATATCATAAGTTTTATCACTCAAACTTTTTTATATATCACTAATATCAAAACTGCTCTAATCTCATATTTATCAAGGTCTTGTTTATATGTCAATTAGCTCAAAGTTTTGTAAGTGTTAAGCATTGAAGGCACGGATAATGTCAAATCTTTTTATCATCTTATAGAAACAAATGATAGATATGCGGACACACGCGGGTATGTTAAGGCTACGCCCTGATATCCTACTTGCCTATTCAATTTGACGGCATATTAAGCTGTATGACGTGAAATTTAGAGATAATGATTTCTTATTATCTATATCTAAAGTTTAATTTAAGGTCCAAGAAATGAATGAATCATTCAACATAATATAAACTAAATCTTGTCCTTTTTGGGTGGTATAAACAGCTAAGTCTTCAACACAGGGGTTAAATACCAAACCCATGACGTCATAACTATTGATCAAATATTTGCCGAGTGAAAATTAAACTTGACGAGAATTCATGTACACAAATAGATGAAATGGGAGTTTTAAGCATATACCATGAATGTCATGCGTGATTCATAAGGAATTAAAGATTACGAATCAAGTACGCTGATTTATTCTTATCATGTTTTCTTGCAATGAACACAGGCAGTGTTTTGAAATTCCGATCAGCCTTTTCCTCTGTCGTTGCCAAAGTTCAACACTTCGCCGCATATTTTTGTTTGTATCTAAAGCTTGTATTCTATAGTACCAGGAAAGTGCTGCTAGAATCGTGTGGTTCACATGAATTGATGACAATTCCTAGATTGTATGTACAAAATGAAAAAAAATTTGTAAGGTTTGATTCGAAACTTTGGTATAATTTTTTCTGTGTCGGAAGAGTAGGATTCTAGCAGCACTTTTCATGGCCCAGTGATGTTTTTACATAATTATTTTCACAAGAAGAAATGAAATATCCCCGGGGTAGTGTTGAACTTTTTTTTTCATTAAGATAATTCTTCTTTTTATAGACTTCACGTGATGACGTCATAGTGGAGTGTGTTTTTTATCCTAAGACTTAATGACGTCCATACAATGGATAATAATAAATATTTTATCTATTGCTTTCCGATTAATCAGTGTTACATTTTACAAAAAAAGTCTAAATTCGCCGAAAAATGATCTAGATACTACCTTAACATACCTGCGCATTAGACAATAGAAAGCGTTTTATTTTATAGCTGATAATTTGTTTACTTGCATTTTGAAAATTTTGTGAATCCTGTAAAAAAAAAAAATTAAAATGCGTATCAAAACAAGAATGAATTTTATTTCATTATTTTTATATATAAAAAAAAAATTGATGATTTGCAACTTTAAAATTGCTAGAACACGTTTTAATGAATTAAAACTTTTTTCGACTAAGAATGAATTAAAACTTTTCTCGACTAAGGAAGTATTTGTCATTTTCTTCTCTGCGATAAATCGATAAAATGAATTTAATTGTTGACAATAAAAATGAGATGATCTCTTTGTAGTATGTTTTTTTCTTTCCTTCTTAAGGCGACAATATGTTAGACACGGGGTATACTTTCTATGATCTGTCGGGGATGTCCTTTAGTACTCCTGACAGGGACAACGACAGGAAGAGAGAAGAAAACTGTGCTTCTGAACATAACGGGGACTGGCGGTTCAACAAATGTCATTATGCCTACCTCAACGGACCTTGGTATCCGGAAAGATGGACATATCCTTGGGTTTTTAAATTTTATGACGGTTCAAAAATAAAGGAGACTACCATGATGATAAAGCCTCACTGAGTGTGTTACAATGGTGTTAATGTCTGTATTCTTTTTACACGATTATCTTTGATGAAAACATATTTCTCATATTCCGCAGTTTCCATAAATATTGAAAAGCATTATTCATTGACAATTGAAGTTATATATACGTGTATATACTGTGGTATATGAATGGTCTTCTTGATCCGTGTAATGTATGCATTTATGTTAAATCTTATGTATCTGCTGATACAAGGAACAAAAATACTTAACTAACAATGTAGTTGTAATATAAATAATCGATTCTGAGGTTTATGATATATATATATATATATATATATATATATATATATATATATATATATATATATGACAATGCAGCTATTGTAGAGATCAATGTAATGACTGTAATGTTGTTATTATTATTATTAATTGTATGTGATAGCTTCTAGGATTTCTAAGTGATGTTTTCAGCAGTTAAGCAATAGGTAAATGGGTCTAAATTGGTACAAAAGAGTAACGATGAGATAGTTTACAATAAAAGGAATTTTTACTACAATAAAAAAATGTAAATTTCCTTGACGAGCTCATTCCTTTCACAAAAAGATAATAATAGTAAGTCAGGAGTAATTACCATCTGAGAATTGTAATGATATGCAGCCGATTCTGACTTGGGTCCAAAACGAGAGAAGACAGTCAGGGAATGATACTGTTCTGTTTTGGAAGTTTTTGCCTCGACAAAGTTGCATGAGAAGAACATGAAATTATTTTAAATGGAGGACAAAATAAATGTTTTTAAAGGAATATGCAATATTTGCAACTTTTCAGACCAAAGATGAGTAACGACACACTTTCTTAATCACTACAATTCATGATTGTATTAGTTTTGTTAACGTTACTCCTAGACATGCACAAGAACATTATTAGCTTTTATTATACCTCTATTAAGAATACTCAAATTTGATTGGCTTGTTAGAAGGCTTTTAAACTCAATAATGACTCCAAAAATACCGTTTACAGCAATAATGACCTAGGAAACATTGAACGTGGGGTATAATGACCCGGTCATCATAAATAATGACCGCTAAAAATGACCTGTTAATCTGAATTCCATTCAAATTAAAAATTTACGCATACAGTAATGATACTTTATTACAAAAAATTCCGTTTTAAAAATATGTATAGTCTTTTTATGGTACGGAATACGATTGGCCTTTAAATGCGTCATGATCGTTTTCACTGATTGATTGATTAGATGTTGTTTTACGTCCCATTCGATAATTTTTCACTCATATAGAGACGTCCCATATACCGATAAAGGGCTTCAAATTTTGACCTTTACTCGGCACTCGGGGCCATTGAGCAGTGAGGGATCTCGGTTTTTAAGGTCTCATCCGAAGGACCCGCAACTTTCACTTCAAAGTGCCGAGCGCATGGCGAAGGAACAGTTGCTACCCATTTTTGATCGACTTAGGTCAGTCGCGGGCGAGATTGGAACTCACGACCTCCCGATCACGAAGCGAGCGCTCTACCGACTGAGCTACCGTGAACGGTGTCGTTTTCACTGAAACTTTCGTTACAATGTCAAATTCAACAAATGCAGACTCGGCTCTTTTGTACAGTAAAAGTCTGCACCAAATTGTCATTGTACTCGAGAATGCTATTTGTGAATTTATAAAAATGCATGTTACTGACAATCACAGAGAATTTTAATAAATCGGCGGTGCAAAAACTTACAAGACTTGCAGGCGAAAAGTAAACACCTTCACTAACGAATCCCGATCTCGATGGAACACTGATAATAAAAGTTCGTAGGTCTAATACACAATTGATTATTTTAGTAATTAAGCGTACAAAAATTGTCTTAACTTATATCGGTTTAATAAAACAATTGATTACCACTTATGAGGTCAACATGATGAAATAAGGACCCTCGACCTGAATTGATAATAGATAAGAAAATATGGTATGGTGTTAGGGATGCTTACATGATTTACCTGTATACAATTAACACAAGATATGACGGGAGGCAAAATAACATAACTTATAAAGTACGTTATTCGTGAGGGATAGCATCTCCTTTAAATCTCATTTGCTGAAGGAATTAAATAAGGAAGAAAAAAATCTGAAAGGAAAACTTGGCAGGAGTTTGTCAATGTGGAAAGGGAGTGGGTTGAGGATAGGGTCATTGCCGTTCCCTTCCTAGACAACATACATGTAATATGTGCTTTGAAACGGCCCGTTGCCTTTTAATTAATTCTTCAGAAAAATATTTATATCACAAAAAAGCTTCCGTATAATGTCTTAGTGTAAAAGTAACCCGTCGACTGTAAAAATAAGCGCTTCTCGCAAAAGTTCACTACTGGAGCCTGTTTTTATCATGCCGTCACCTGTAAGTTATACAAATAGCAGATTATAACTAACCACATAGAATTGTGGAATTGTTACAGATTATATGATTTACCTGAAGGACAGTATACACTTATCCACTGGCTGTGAGTGGGATAGCTCTTTTATCAAACCCGCGACAGGAACTATTCCCCGAGGGCTTGCCCGAGGGGAATAGTTCCTGTCAAGGGTTTGATGAAAGAGCTATCCCAGTCACAAGCCAGTGGATAAGCGTTTTATTATACTGATGTATATCATAATTTCTGAGGGTTGGATTTACCTGATACTACAGTTCGATAGTAAAAACATGAAAAAAAAAATTATAAAAGTTTTGAACAAGTATTTGGAATAAGATAACACTACTAGAATGAGCTGAAATCTTGATGACGTCACAATGCTACTGAAGTCAGGATGACATCATAAGTCTATAGATTGATTACAGGAAATCAAAATTTGCGGCAAAAATTGCATGAAAATTTTCCGAGGGGTAGATAGCAAAAACTATACCCCGGGGTATAGCTTTGCTATGTGTGGGAATTTTGAGACTATAAAGATAGTTATTTTACCTTCTTAACTTTATATAGGAAACATTTTAACAGAAGTATAATAATTTATATTATTATACTTCTGTTAAAATGTTTCCTATATAATGTAAGAAGGTAAAATAACTATCTTCATAGTCTACACATAGCAAAGCTATACCCCGGGGGTATAGTTTTTGCTATCCACCCCTCGGAAAATTTTCATGCAATTTTTGCCGCCAAGTTTGATTTCCTGTAATCAGTCAATAGACTTGTGATGTACACTGACTTCAGTAGCATTGTGACGTCATCAGGATTTCAGCTCATTCTCGCAGTGTTATCTTATTCCAAATACTTGTTCAAAACTTTTATATTTTTTTTTCATGTTTTTACTATCGAACAGTAGTATCACGTAAATCCAACCCTCAGAAATTATGACATACATCAGTATAATAAAACGCTTATCCACTGGCTGTGAGTGGGATAGCTCTTTCATCAAACCCTTGACAGCCCTCGGGGAATAGTTCCTGTCGCGGGTTTGATAAAAGAGCTATCCCACTCACAGCCAGTGGATTATACTAAATTCGACTGCGGAATATTTCGTCTACCCGATCACTACATAGGGCTTCCGGCGGATGTGACCGGTCAGCAGGGGATGTTTACTCCTCCAAGTCCGTGTTTTATGCCCTGATTACAGACTTGTATTGCTTGTAGATTTTTTTTTAGATTGATTACTTTCTTTATCTTCACTTTTTTCATCTGAATGAAAAATGCGAGTCATTTGATTCGAAGAAAGATTTCTTTCTCCTGCCTTCAGATGTTGAAGTACATAAAGTGTGTTCTATCTTTCCATAAATTGTTGAAAGAAAAAAATGTGAACAACTGAAATTATTTAAACTAAATTTATTGTCCTTCTTATAAAATCTTGTAAGAAAGTTCAAACATTACTGAATTTTTGGTAAAAATAAATCTGATCGTGTTCATTTCAGGTGAAGGTATTAAGGGTGTTTTAAAACATGAGAGCTTCCATTTCATTATTGGTCGTGTGCGTTAGTATATTCCTTATGGAGTTATATTTTGGGTAGTGCGACTCATAATTTTTGACATCGTACAATTTTGCTCAGAATTATCATAAGAAATTTTTACATATTTTGGGGAATATGTTCAGATAATTTATTTAAAAAAACATTTTTCGCAAATGAAAATTACACAGGGTCAATTAAATAGTGCCAATACCCACTCAAAAACTGTTACGTATTTCAATGTACACATAACTGTGCATAGTAGTTGAATAAATTACAATTAAATTAAGAATTCTCTTTCTTATCACCGAATCTCTCAATTATAGGGGAGTCGATGTTATAACATTAAATGAGTGAATAAGGAAAGTGAATCGAAAGAAATGGTTATTTGCGGTATGATGTATAATTTGAGTGCATAATCGGCACAGACTGACATGCCATCATGTAAATTTGTAACGTACTATTGACAAATTCATTTAAATTGTTATATAATAATGTCGAAACCGACCCATCCGAAAAACTCAAACAATTGCACAATTTTCATCTCAAGTTTCCAAAGTCGTTCAGCTCCAGACATTTTGACAGTTATTGATGTCCTGTGTCAATATGGAATTGCTATAGATGCACTGTTGAATAATACATCACATCAGGAAATATATCTTTAAAAAATCATCCTCTTCTTTATTTTCCTTTCAACAAACACATGTTCTCAAAAATCACTGGGTAACCTTTCAACATTGCTAATAATTGATTTCAAATATAAGCTGCATACCTTTGTATCTATTGAAATGACAAAGCATTTAACGACAATAAGCTGATTGTGCCATGGATAGATACAGATACTGCAGGGGGCAAACTGAGATCATCCTGCCTGTCTGAATACTCTTTCTAGTTAAACACTGTATCTACCGTTTTATTCAAAATTATTCTTTTTTTTCAAAATCAAATGTTTCCTATTTTAAAAAGTGAAATAACGATCTTATCAAAGTGATATACCTTTATTCTCTGTTTATGATTAATTTTACTACATGTACGTAGATACTGTTAAATAGTTGAAGATAACGAACAGTGATCGATCTCAAACAACCTACAAACAATACAGATCTGTGATTTTAAGTGTTACTTTATCTGTTTTGTCAACATGTTTCACACGTGACAATCAAATTATATATTACTATTTTGCGGGCTTTTTTTTTTCATTGCATAACATTTTAGGACATTGAAGAAAAACAATTCGGGACGTAATATTGAAACATAATATCCGTAATAACAAACATTTCTTTTAAACATTCAAACGCTTTTGGAAAATTTGTTGTACCATGTGTTTATTGGTAATATGGAAACAACATAAAGTTTTGATTGTATACATACAC